AACATAATGATCTCTTTAATAGGATTGTGCAAGTGGATCTAAAGTTCCCTCCCAAACCTATCGTCTCTCCATCTGCAAAGGATTTAATTAGCCAGGTTTTTTATATACATTTCGATGAAAGTAGTAGTCATTGAAGAAGGAAATGTTGAATGAATCTGAAATCTCACATGTTTCTTAACTGTTTATATAGATGCTTGTCAAGGAGTCTTCACAACGTTTGCCATTGCACAAACTTTTGGAGCATCCGTGGATTGTGCAAAACGCTGATCCTTCTGGAATCTACAGAGGTTGAAAACAAAACGCTCATGCGTTCTTAACGCGACAGTTCTTGGCAATCTCGAGCCAAATTGTTATCGAAAAACAAGAAAAAAAACACCATTGTCTAGGTGTAAGAATCTTAATTGTTTTTTTTTTTTTCCTCATTCACGTTTCAATTTGTGTATCTCTAGAAAATTCATCTATATTACCAAGTATATGTTCTATGTTGTTAACCAGAGAAGGAAACTCTACAAAGAGTTGTTAATGTCAAACAAGCTTGGTGATGTAATTTGTGGTTCTAAATTCTAATTGCCCAAACAACTTAATTCCAGAAGCTTAACCACTCCTCAAGTCTCAATTTTTTGTTTTGATCATTTCAAAATGAAGGCAAGTAAGAAAATATTCATTCATAACGAGTAAAATATTTGTTTATAAGCGTGTGATTTTACATTTGATATATCATCCAAGACAGCAAATTCTTGAATCGTTGATGAAAAGTAAAAGCAAAGCATGAATGGAAGTTGCTGGCCTAGGTTTCATGAAAAGGGAAGTAAAAGCCAAAGCATAGACTCTTGGCTTATCTTCCCAATCTATAGGAGACGAAACATGACGTCACATGAATTTTGTATCTTCAACAAGTACACGAAAACAATGGTACCGTCTTTACCTATATGATCCAATCTCGCTGGGGTCAAAATTACAAATGAAGAAATGAAACTCAGCCAAAACTTTTTAGCATTAGTTTGTCGCCTCGGTGGTTTCTTTAGGAGGGTTCATGAAGCTGGGCTGGTTCGTAGATGACAGCATCCGCGCCCACATTCTGTCTGTAATCACAACTTTGTTCTGTCTTTCCGTTATTCGCTGCAAAAAGGAAAAATCGATTAAAACTTTGCGAGTTGATGATCCAATGGTATTGATAGATATCTCGGGGAAGAGAAACTTACGTTTAAGGGAATGTAAGTGTGCCTTCCATTAACAAGACCAGAGATGAAGCCAGTATAGCCCGCCATTGCACCATGAACTGCGCTTTGGGCGAGGAGAGTAGAGTAGACGTTGTCAGATGCATTGGCTGGAATAGCTCGGATCATGTATGTCGGATCTGAAACAGGGTTTCAATCATTTTCATATTTCATGAATCTCAGTAGCTTGAGTTCAATTTGGGGAGGATAAACGTACCAATGTATTTCAGAGTAATCTCCATTTTACCCTGCTTCGCAAAGTGTTCCTGTTAAATAAAACGGAAATGAAAAAGATGGTAAATCACACAGAAAATTCGTCTTCCGGGTAAAAATACTCGATATCGTTCTCATTTGCGATAAATTACCTTGATTTTAAGACTCATCCATAGTCCAACGTCTTTAAGGAGCTTGTTTCCTGAAGCATCTTGTTTTTCAATGCTCTCAGCAACAAGATCTTGTCCTGCACCTTCAGCAATTACTATAACCATGTGACCATTTTCTCTGAGCCGTTTTGCAATGAACTCGTAAAGCCCTCCTTTGCCTTCAAGGTAAAAGGGTGACTCGGGAATCAGGCAGCAGTCGACATCTCGGCTGGCCAGAGTCGCATACATTGCAATGAACCCTGTAGTGTAGAATCTATAGATTAGATAAAAGTGCAAGGAGAAACGTCATAAAGATGATACTTCAATGTCTATTCTTCTATGAACTTACCACTGTAGCGGCCCATTAGCTTGACAAGGCCAATGCCGTTTTCCACACTGGTCGCTTCAACATGCGCTGCATTAATAGCTCGTTGAGCCTCCTCAACCGCAGTATCAAATCCAAAGGACTTGTCAATGACCTGAATCAGAGATGCTATCAAATAGTGACTTGCGAACGACACAGAATGGGAGAGGAGGTTAAGGTTGAGAGTACAGTAACTAGAACTGGGACTTACTGGGATGTCGTTGTCAATGGTTTTTGGTATTCCTGCGACTGCAACTTTAAGTCCACGGCGTCTAATTTCCTGCACCATCAGTCAAAAACATTTGTTTCACCAACTTAAAGCAATTGTCACACGAACATCACTGCTATACCAGTCCAATATATTCTATAGACAAAGGTGCTTATAGGAAGCTAGGAAGCCCATTTTATATCTTCCAGCAAATAGACGTTTATTTCAATCATAGCAGAGTGTATTCCGTGGATTTAATTAGCCTGTTCTCTTAATAAAATGTTCTAGATAGGTACCATCCATCAATAATACACAACACTTCAATTCAAAAGAAGCATCGATTTCTGTCTTTTGAGCTTGCTGTTCACTAACTAACCTTATATATTGCAGATGCTCCTTTCTGGGTTCCATCACCTCCAATGATGTAAACCTATATCACATATACATATAATGCAGCTGACTCTTATTAGCAGAGCTTTACTCCATTCAACAAAAAAAACTTACAGAAGAAAAAAATTATTCATAGGAAACCTGATTTATTTCACGATCCTGTATGTTATCGACGATCTTTGATGTATCATGTCCCCCTCGAGAAGTACCAAGTATGGTTCCCCCACGCTTGTGGATGTCACTCACAACCTTTGGTGTTAGTGTAACAGTGTTTTTGGAATAGAACCCACGAAACCCACACTGCAGTATTGCAAAAGCAGATGAGCCAAAAAAATCATAAACAATCAATAATAGCTAAAGCAGTACTTTCTTGAGCATCAGTTATTAGAGGTTAGAGTTCTGTCATTGCTTTATTACAGCAACATCACAATATGCAATAGCAGCTACAGAACAAAGTACTACGCTACACGTTCAGGACACAGTTTATACAATCTACAAGAATAAATTTTTGGTAACTTGAAATGAACTCACATCCACACCAATTACTTCTGTGACACCATACATAAAGTGAAGACCACACACAATCTCTCTGATTACTGTATTAAGTCCCGGGCATAGACCACCACATGTGACAATACATGCCCGTACATCAGCTGGCTTGAAATACACCTAAATTCAATATATAACCATACATCAGCAGTTTTTTACATCATAATATGCGGAAGCTGCAGAGCACGGGAAACCCATGGAAGAGATGAAATACCTTTTGGCGCGGTCCTGCACGTCTAAAATGTGTCCCTCTAGGACTGTCCTGGTGAACAACAATCTATAACAGACACAAACAGAGGAAAATCAGCAGTGTCCTAACATATCACATTATCTCACTTATGCAGCGAACAAGAGGCCAAAACATAAGAAGACAACAAAGCAGTGAGTTTTTACCTTTTCCATGACTGTATCATCCTCATCAACAAAATACTGCCTGAAAATCCCACAGAACATGAACCCAATTAACTCTCTTTCATCCGTCAATCAATCAAGTTTACAAAGTATAATCTCAACTCACCTAACTACTGAATACGCAGCATTCGATTGCAACGGGTTTGGATAAGTCTGGAAAACCCCAAGAACAGAAAAAAGGCATCAGCAAAAGTGGATATCAAGACTACGAATATCAATGCTGGATTAATATACATACAGTCATGATTATTATCCAATTCTTCCATTATTCTACATATATGATAAAAATGTAACCTCAGAACTTTCATTAGCATCAAATTTACAAAATTCAATTTAGATCTAATCAAACAATTAACAACGAGTACGCATATGGTGCACCAATCCATTTCCACTTTCATATTGATTAAAATTAGTGTGCACAATGAGAATAATATTTATGTAAATTCCTCCATGATAGCGACCGGATCTCATCAACAAATCCAAATTACATAAAAAAAAATTAACGAATTATCAATATCCCCGAAACAATAGGGAACACAAACACGAACCAAATCGAGCATACTACCAAATTCGTACATGCACGATCCAGAGAAATGTCGATTTCAACGAAGAATCAACGGAAAATCGTATCGAAGAGAGAGAGGGAAGAAATAATACGGGGAGATCGTGAATGTAATCGCTCAAATGAGGAACATCTTCGAGAACATAACCAGCAGCTCCTTCCACCAACTTCATCTGGTGCTCATCGACGCCATTAGAATCCATCTCTGACCTTGTTCTTCGTCGTTTCTCAGGTCACGTAAATTTGAAGCGTTCAGAGTGGTGTAGAAGTAAGAAGAGGGGGTTTTACGAAACGAGAAGCGACGTCGTTTTGACTCACCGTTTTTTTTTTTTAATGTACGGACACTACGAAAATACCGGCGGAAACGGCTGCTGGTTTTTCCTTTTGTCACTATCCGGTTTTCAGAATTGATTCGTGTGTATAAAATAAAGATAAAGATGAATTAGTAAATTTGGAAAAAACAAATTGGATAAAGTTTTGTAAAGTATCTTGTTTATCGTTTTTGTTTGATTCTTTTCCTACAAAGTGTCTAACAAGATTAGGAAATATCACTAAAACAATAATGAAAACAATAATCACCTTAG